GCTCCCTCCTACATCCTGGAAGGACGCTGCCACCAGCGCCTCCGTCGCCAGCGTTTGTCAGGGGCTGTGGGCTTTTTCGTGTTGGTGGGGGTACGGCGATGTGACGGTGGCGAGAATGAATGAAAGCTGAACGGTAAACAAAAGTAATAATTAGCGAAAGTCTTCTATTCTGCCTCCGTGTGGACATCAGTGGTTTGGAATCACTTAGTGGTCTTACTGTATTTGTTTTAACTTGCTGTCACCACGTGGAACATTTGCAGGTGACACGGAGGGGCTTTCAAGGTGAGGACCAGACATTCAGTCTGAAGTGAAAAAAAGAAGTACTCGTACCTGACCATAGTTTTGTTTTCACTTAATAGAAATACTTGGAAATAGAGATGCTGAAAGGGAAAATAAAAATAAATCAAGTTAAAGGGGTTTGTAAGAGTTTAAACTGCAAGGTAAAGAAGAATGTTAGATCTTTGATTTAAATTAACATCTCACATGTGATGCATTTCTGGCACGGTTGCCATGAAGGGATACAAGTCTGCTTGGTAAGCACTGTAGTGTCAGTTATGAAGGAGGCTAAGTGTGAAAGATGTAGAAAAGAAAGTTAAAAGAACTAAGTTTAACTGAAGAGCAGGATACTGGAAATGGGAGTATTGGAGAGCCCATCAGGGCCAAGGATAAAGACTGACAGAAAAGCAGGTTAGCAGCATTAAATGTCAACGATTTCTTGGGAAATTGAGGTGCCATGCTCTGTTACTGAGATGGGTACTAACTCTTGGGGTTAATCAATCAGAAATCTAAAAATTAGACCCTTGTGGGCTTTGCTTTTGTCTGTTCTCCTAGCTTGCTCTCCAGAGTATTCATTGGAGGGGGGGAAATCTCTTCAGAAAGAGAAGCTCTATTCACTGTTTTTTCCTTTTCTTAGTTCCTTGTTTGGGGCCTTCAGCTAACTCCAGTACTGACTCTGTTGGCTTTAACTGTCATAGCCAAGAGTAGTAAATAAAATGCTATGGAGTTCAGGCTTTTTTAATTTTAACACTGTGTTTCTGAAATTCTGATGGTATTTAATCAGATATTTTTAAACTCGCTGCAGTTTGGAAAAATATGGAGTTTGCCATAGAGTCACTGGTGGAGTAGTGTGATAAATACCTGGAGGGAAGGACCACTGTGTTAGCTGATGTTTGGAAAGTTAAATTTGCAGCTGTAGTCGGGAACATTTTTTTAAGTGATTCATTGAATGGTGTTATAAATCACCAGTAATTGCAAAACTGTGCACTTAGTTTTTCCTGAACAAATTAATTTTTCAATACTAAAATTACTGCCAGCAAAATAATAATAATTAAAAATTGAAACTTCATAGCCTGTAAACTGCATTAATTTTTGCCTTCTAAGAGCCTATAGTGCATGATTCCATTCTTATTTTGTACACAGAAGATAGAGGATGTGCATTGTCTTCCCTGAACTTTCATAAGCCAATGTATCTTAATTTTAAGTCTTAATATTTACTAAGCCCTTTTGATACAGTGCTGCAGTCTCTTGCACAGCTTATGGGATTTCTGCAGAAACATTGAGAAAGCATTGCTCCCTTCTTTCAGTAAATCATAATCATAGTAATTTTTAAAAAATCCAGAGTAAACATCACATGGCTAGTATGTGTTTCCACATTTCTAGGCATTGAAATGTTGTATTTGAGTAATGTGGAAAGGCTTCTCCAGTGCAGGAGAAAGTGTTTAAAAAAAGTTCACACCCTCTATAAAAATTCCTGGTTCATTGTTGCAAAGATTATGTACAAAATGTCAGTGCTTTTTTTTTTTTTCTTCCTCTAAGAATGCTTGTCAAATATATTTCCAAATTCTGATATGAATCAAGTCAGTAATACCATCTACTGAGATACTCACAAGAGAGAATAATAGTCCTGGACTACTCTTCTTTCGGCAGTAGTTGTGGGATGATGAGAATGGTGTTTCCTCCTCCCCCCTTCCCTCCACTAACCAGAGGATATGGTTGACTTCTAAAGTGAGTCTGAAACGGTTGTAGGAGTAGGTGATTACAAACATGTTTGAAGTGAATACAGAAGTGTCAGTGTAGTAATTGCAGCAGCTGTTGGGAGTTGGCCTCTGCCTTCTTGCAAGATCCCTACTTTGTGCTGTGTCTGCAGGAGGAATGAATACTCACTTCCCATGTCAACATATTTATCTGGTAATTCCTTTGGAGTTCTGCCTCCAAGTGTTTTCCTTCCAGAATACAGATTGTTTCTGCTCTTCTAAAGTAAAGAGTACTGGAGAAAAGGGCAGATTGCAATTGTTATTTTGGTTTCAGTCAGCAGATTCATTGAAAATAGGATTTGCAATACATTTTTCGTTGTTAACAAGTATTGAGAATGTCTGCAGTAAATCAATTGTAGCAGGTTACTTAGTAGTTTTAATTCTGGGTGGTTAAAATGCTCACAGCAAAAGTTTCAAGTGGCGGACAATACTGTAGAACTACAGATTTAAGACTGTGTGGTCTGTAGCCTTGCCAAAAGATGAGCCCTGATAGAAGTTAGGGAAGTTGAATGTGGCTGTAACAAATCTCTTCACTCTGAGCTGTTTTGAAGTTGGGTTTTTTCCCAATATCTGAATGGAAGTTCTGGAGTAGGCAGAATGATACTTCTTTACTCCTGAGCTCTTCAGGCAACAGTAAATGATCAAGTAGATCTACATTGCAGTCAAAAGTGCAACTAAAATATATTTAGGTAGATCTGGCTAACAGTAGCAGTGAAGGCTATGATAGTGTGGGTGGGTCTTTTTGTTTGCTTGTTTCAGGCTACACTATACAAAACTACTGGAATCTTTAAAAAAAAATATGTATACACACACAAACACAAACTGAGCTGCCAGCCTGTCTATAGTATTATGTCTGATTTTGCTAACTGTTTTTATGTATACTGTAGGTTTCTAAAATCTGTGGGCACAGGGATAGCAATAATGTAAGGGTGAGTGCATGGATAAATGCAAAGATTTTTGCAGTTATGTTGCTGCTGTTCGTGTTATTTCTCTCCTATTACAGTCTGCGTGAGTCAAAGGAAGGCCTTAGACATTTAAAATTAAAAGTAGGATCTGTGTCTAAGTATGGTCTTCAAGATACCTCAGAAGATATTGTCAAATGGTAACTTTAGTCATAGCTTGACATTTCTAGCCCAGTTTCTCAGGCAAACCTTCCATCTGACTCTTGCCTTCCTAATATTTCTTAGGCAACCTTTACTGACATGCAGAATGCAAAGATATTTAGTGCTTAGTGGTTTTGTGAAAACTGGCAACTGGCTGGAGACCCAGGCTGGTGTTTAATAGCTGTCAGTGCGTGTGTAACTTGGAAAGAGCCTACAGCATTAATCTGAGTTGTGTTCAATCCAGAAGCTGGGGGAAGTGGGACTGCTATGCAAGATTATGGGAGGTGGAATGTGAGGTCCCAGGAGGATAGGAAGGACCAGGGTACTTGTGTTACTGCAGTAAACATAATGGGATAAGGCTTGCAAATGGAAAAAAAAGTTTCATTATATGTTCACAAAACAATCCTTTTCTCCATACTAGCAGAAAATCAGAAGGGATGTCTTTGCTGTATGTATATATGCATGCATGCTTTTTGTTGCATTCAATTTCGGTATATAGTTCCAAATATGTACTTTTTTGATAAGTAGCTTCCAAAGATATCTCTGTTATTGAAGTAATTGCTGTCTACAAGACTTACTATATTTGTACACTCAGGAAAGTTGTTAGGTGGTCATAAAATAGACTAAGTTTTTCTATACATCTAAAACGTCTGTAGATTGGACATTTTAAGTTTTTCACAATTTGCATTCTAAGTTTTGCACAATTTTTATGCATAAGTTTTTCTTGGTACCATGTTTTGTTACATGCCTAAACTTGTTTCTTTTTCAGAGATTGGAATGGGACTAACAGGCTTTGGAGTGTTTTTCCTTTTCTTTGGAATGATACTCTTCTTTGACAAAGCTCTTTTGGCTATTGGAAACGTAAGTGTCTGCTGTTGATTCTTAGATTCTGCACTGCTTGGAAGTATATGATATATTAAAAATAAACTAAATATAGAATAATATGTTATCAATTTGAAACTGGATCACAAAAAATACTGTGGCAGTTTGGTATAAAGGAAGAATTATGCTCAGTGATATAAGGGAATAATTTTTCCTGTTTAAAGTTAGAGCAGCTCACATCAATCTAAAGATCTCCAGGTCAGGCCTGTGGTATGTTGTTCAGACAAGAAGCAGCTTGTTCTATAGTTGTTATGCTGCTGCAAATAAGACTTTTAGATTGGCTGTGATTACTAACGTTTCTTTTTTTTATGACCTTGTAAAATAACTGTCAAATTTAAATATCTATTTGGATAAGAATAGTGAAGTGTTGTGTACCTGCTAGCACATGTAGCTTTGCTGTGCTTTATAAGGAAAGAAAGAAGTATGAATTGCTGATAGTCTGGGTTTAGAAGAGCCAACCACCCTTTGTAGTAGAGAGATTTAATATATTCAGTTTTTTTACCAAATCAAAGGTTTTATTTAAAGCGGGATAGAAAATAAATTCTAGTTCTGGTACACAAAATTCCAATCCAAAGTAAATATAAAATGACAGGGTGTTTTCTGAATGTGATAATCTCTGTGCCTCTGCACTTCTCAGTTTTGCCAGCCAGCCAAGAGCACAGCCTGGTAGAGGTTCACATTCTCTTTTGCTGATGCCTTAAAAGTCTGTGGTCAAAACTGATCAGTTTCATTCTGTGGCAGCAGAGTCAAATACTGAGATTCACTGTAGGAAAATTTAAAAACATATATTTGAATTTGGGTGCATTAGTTGAAGCACTGTTCTGAAGCATCAACGAAGTGTATAGTGGAGAAGTAAACAATAAAATAATGCTATTTTTTCTTTTCCTAATGTAAGGTGGAAATACGAGATCCTGTTTAGGGAAATGATGAGAACATAGGTAGGAAGATACAATGACAGGCTATGTGGTAACCAAAGATAATGCAAGAAAAGGTACTGTATCCTTACAGAAAGTTAAGAAGTTGTATCAGAAAGGGGAAAAGATGTTAAGAAAGTGTTTTAAATAACTTAAATTTCATCTATTATCTTGAATGAAATCTGATACTGTCTGCTTTTCAGCAAAAATGTTGCCCAGATGTATGCTTACAAGCGGAAATAATGATAAGTCCTGTTGCTAAAGGACACTAAAAGTAGCTGTAACTAGGTGAGACTAGTATGATAGCATTCAGTCTGTACTGGAACTAGTAAACAGTAGAAAGATTATATACAGAAAAAAACCCCACCAACAACAAACAAGGTAACTGATAATGCTCTTTGGCTGTTTTCCTTTTTTGGCTTTGCAGTGTCTAGTAGATCAGTGCAAGCTGTTGAAGATATCCATGGTACAGAACAGAGGTGTTTTTGTAACATGTCTGTTCTCAGTTTTTAGGAACCTTTGCTGTCAGTGGTGCTAAGCTTCAGCACTGCTTGTGGGTAACAATTGTACTTATGTTACAGGACAGATATAACTGTCGTCATCAAGTCTTTTGACATGATTATGTTTGTCAGAGGCCACAAAGGTAGACTCTTTACTTCTTAAGCAGCTGTGAGAAGAGTTTTGAAAGCTAGCTACAAATGCTTTAAGATAGACTTTACAGAAGAAAATCACTAGTGAATTCCTTCTCACTGTCTATCTTTTGGTATTAGAAGAAGTTGTGCAAAAAAATGCAAATGTAGTTTTGTGGAATGTTTATATCCTAAACTTAGGAATATAATTAGCTGTTTTCTTTATTTGGTTGGTTTTTGTCTTTCCTAGGTTTTATTTGTGGCTGGCTTGTCTTTTGTTATCGGTTTAGAAAGAACATTTAGATTCTTCTTTCAAAAACACAAAATGAAAGCAACGGGCTTTTTCCTGGGTGGTGTGCTCATAGTTCTCATTGGTTGGCCTTTAATAGGAATGATCCTTGAAATTTATGGGTTCTTCTTACTATTCAGGTAAGACTTGTTTCAAAATACCTTTTTGTATTGGTGTGTCTAGAAATAAATGTATTTGTTTAGTATTGCTGCTTTACAGCTGAAAAGGCAGCGTCTTTGAAATGTTGGCTTTTGATAGATTTTATATAAAGTTGTTGATTTACATTTACAAGATGTGGAAAGTTGGTAAATGCTTTTCCAAGACTCAAATCTGCTAAAGTTTGAGGCATATACCAAACTGACTTTGGTTAGACATAAACAACATTACCAAGGAATTGTAAAGCCCAAATTGTTAGAAGTGCGAAGTTTAAACATTTCCTCATAAAAAAAGGCAACTTAGCCCACCAAAAAAAACCCTTTTCTTTAACAAATGGGGCAAAGTGCTTGGTTACAAACATTCTAGGTTTGTAACCTTATCACTTCATTACTGTGGTAGTTCAGTGAAAAAATGTTTTCTGTATTATTTCATTACATTTGTGCCTTAGTGTATTCAGAACTGCTGGTTTTGGTTAGCATTATCTGGACTGAGTTAAAAAATTAAAATTTTCATCTTTCCTTAACAGCAGTCTTGATACACGTGTTGGCTTTCACAATGTGTCATTTAACTTCTTCATAAATGCAGTTCTAACAGTGAAAGAATTTCAGTTGTAACAACCTGTATTATCTATATCTATCTTTATTTCCATGGTTGAATTTACATACTTTGGGATACAAGAAAGTACAAAATATGCTAAGAAGTTAGAAGCGAGGCTTTTAATTGTTCTTGGACTTGTGTTCAGATGAAGACTGTTCTACTAATGCTTATTAATCTAATAACAGACCCCTAAAATATTTTTGAAGTGTTCAGATGCTGGCGAAGTAATACAGTTCCTATTAATCAAAATCAAACCACTTTTCTCATGGTGCTCTTTTGCTTCCACTTGGTAAAATTGTATGTTAATCTTGTATTTAGTTTAGATAAAATGTTCAAATATTTTTGAAAAAAAATTATAATCTTAACTTAGTTTTTACTATATGCTTCTTATTGTTCTACTCTGTATTAACTTTGAACTCTATCCCTGCAAGTGTTTTGAAAATCACAGTATATCACCGAATACATTGTCACTTCTTACACGTAGCATTTGAGTTTAATCACCCAGTACAAAGCAAGTAGAGTTTGTTTTCAACCAAACACCCCTCCTTTTAAAAGACCTCAAAAGAATTATAAATTACTATGCCTGAGCAGGCAAGGTTATGGATTATCTATTGGGGCTAGCTAGGGGCCATCAGGGTAAAATAACATTGAAGGGGTTATAGGAGGTCAGTAGTTATCCCTAGGTCACTAGGACTATCCCTTTGCCAGAAGAGTATCAACAAGGGATTGATAATTCCAGGTGTGAATGCTTTATCTGATCGGTTTTAATATAAAACAGCTCTAGACCATCTTGTCTAATGCTTAATAGCTCTTACAGTCTAAATCCCTTGCTACAATGTTAGCTAGTGACTCAAACAAAAATTTTTGGTTTGCTTCAGTCTTGTTCATTTCAACTGTTATCATGGTTTTGGCAACTTGCCTCTTTCTGAAGAAGTTAAAAACAGCCTTTCCTCAAGCATCATTTTATGTGATTCCTCAGGATCCTGCTGTTTGGTTGCATAACAGAAAACTTCCCTGGTTGTCATTGGTCTCTGAAGTACTTAATTCTCTTAGGCCCAAGGAATGCCAGATCACACACCTTTAGATTTCTTAGGGCAGTATGTTGTGAGGATGGGCATTTCTGTGTGTCCTAATGATTCTAGTCATGTAGACTTTTATATGGAGAACCTTTATATTTATCAAGCGCAATTTAGCAGTTATAGTAACTACTTCAGCTTGGACTAAGATAGTACAAATGTAAACCACTGTATTATACTTTTTTTTCAGTCTCTCGATTTTTAGACCACTAAACCAGTTCCGCTAGTTGTTCAGGTCCCTCTAGAACCTTTACTCGTAGGCTGTCATCTTGCACATCTAGACTACTTTTACACAATAACCTTTCATACACCCTGTAGCAGCAGAGTGCCTGTTGTCCACAAAGCAACAGTTAAGTACTGGTGACCAAGAACACTTAAACAAATGACAGCATTGCAAAGATTTTTTTTTAAAGATGCATCTGACTGAAATAAGAGAGAGACACAATTATTATTCTACTCTGGTTTAAATATAGAATGTCTTTCTTTTCTTGTCTTTATTTAACATGCTGCCACAAGTTTCCCATCAGAAGTTTAGTCCTTTGCCATACTTTCACATGCACAGGTTGCGTGTAATGGAGAAGGCTATTATGGGACAGTATCTCTTCATATATTCTAATCTGCTTTTGGAGCCTTGTTTACATTACAAGCACCAATGTTATGGCTACCAATATTATCCTTCCCATACTGACTATTTCTTATTCTGGCTACCCCCATTGTTTTAATCTGTTACAAGGGGTTTGTGTGCCCTGCATCACAATTCACCAGACCGCTGAAATGATTAGGTCTTTAAAAAAAAGAAAATCTCCAGGAAAAACTTGCTGGTATTGATATTACCCAGCAAATTGTTCATACCAATGTAGTGAAGAGGATGACAACTTGTGAAAAACTTTGCTGTTTCACTGTGGCTGAGGTTTCATTACACGTTAATCCTTATTCTATGCAGGGAATGTATAGCTCAACAAGAGGTAACTCAGAATGCCACCACCAGCTGAGTTGCTGCAGTTGACTGCAAACAGTTGAAATATTGCCATAGGAAGTTTGTTTTCCTGCTGCAGAGACAAAGTGGACAGCGCAGGGGGCTACACCATAGCAGCTATGCTAGGCAACATCCCCTGGCTAATGATTCAAATCTCTGACTTCACATAAATTTGTGTAATAAGTAAATACACAGCTCTGTCATGCTTATTTTTCTGTAGTTGATGTAGAGGACCATGTATGGTTTCAAAGGGGATTAGTCAGAATTAACTTCAGTTGTTTTTACACTGGGTATTGCAATACTGTATTTCCTATAATGTAAAAAGAAATTATCTCAAAATATGTATGGTAATTTTGAGAAATCAGTTGGGTATTCTTTCTTTAGTTATTTTTTGAAGAGCTGACTGAGGGTTGCCAGCCATTGAGAAAATTAGGTCCATTTAAGAATAAGGTGTTTCTTTCCTGGTTTTCTCCTTTCTCTGCTGAATCTATGTTGGTATATTTGTAAAATTACTGAGCTCCAAACAAGCTAGATGATTTTATGTAATTTTGGTTTAAAAAAATACGTCCTATTTCTTCATTTCATAGCAATATGGGAATAGTTTAACTATAAAAACTAATACAATCTTCTTATATCTTACCTAAAGGGGGTTCTTTCCTGTGGTGGTTGGCTTTATTAGAAGAGTTCCAGTTCTTGGATATCTCTTGAATTTACCTGGTATAAGCTCGGTAAGTGTTCGGTACTTCATGCAAAATTTGAAGCTTGTACTGTTTTTTATTCCATTGTTATAGCCATAGTAGAAATGCATCAGAAATAAAGCAAATATAACTTCCAAGCAGTGACTTTGAGTGTATTCCTGTATAGTTCTTGCACCATACAGATCGCCTTCCTTCTCACTGAGAGACTTGTAGATGTAAAAGGAACAAAAGGACACCTTTCACCTTTGTAGAAGCTGCCCCCACTTCTGTGTTGTGAAGCGGAGAGAGGCCCTGATTGTGACTGGAAACACTGGGGTTCTGCTTCCTGCTTCGCTGTTGGCCCTAGGTGGCCAGCTAGACAAACCATGCCACTATTGTGGGCGTCTTCTCCTGTCTGTACAATGAGGAGGACACTTGTGTAGTATTTGGATATATTTATGAAAAGCGGCCTGTAAAAGCAAACAGTTTAGTTCAATGTGAAGTTGCAGCTTGTATGGCAAATCCAGAAACTCTCATGATGCATAATCATTCATCAGATAGTTATATTTATTAGGGTCCACTGCACCAGACTAAGTCTTGCTATTTACTAAGATTTACATTTTTTCAAATGCAGTTTTCCATTTTTTTAACCAAATAGCCGGGGATTTAAAGACAATTAACAGCTGCCAGAAAGATGGTCATCCAGAGTGTTTCAGTCAACTACTTTTACTGTGCTAATTTCTGTATGTGTTTTAACACAAGCATTTTTAACCCTAGTTTTGAAAGCAACAGTTTTAGTAGCTACTACTAAAAAAATTAGTAGGGGGTATAACTTAGATGTATACAGGCTGTTTTCTAAAACTTAGTGTTCAAGATCATCTGTTCCAATCTTACAGTTAGGCAAAGTTCTGGCTTATAATTCATGATCAATTGAATGTTTAATTTGTCAATTGATCTTACTTAGTCATATTTAATTTGATCATAATGGGGTTAAATCTTGTTTTAAAAAGATAATTGTTAATGTTTTATTCAAAGCCTACGTAGGCTCAGAAGAGAATCCACAGTAATGGTCAGTTGAAATATCTTACTTGGTCTACTAATGCATGTGTGGCTGATACTGTATTGTTTTGTTTTAATCATTAAGCTAGCAGTGTTATCTGCATTCTTCTATTTCCTTTTTCATTCTGTTGCATCTTCATGTTGCACTGTTAATGTCTATATAAGAAAAACATGTCATGCAGAAACACAATTGCAGTGTAAGATTTTTAATTTTCACAATGTATATCATGAGACCTTGGTGAGTACTACTTGACTCTCATTTTCAGTTGCATACTAACTGTGCAAATAGCAAGTAATATTTGAGAGTAACTTTACTGTACATAAATGTCATGCAGCTTAAAACCTTTTTGTTTCCTTTTCTACAGCTTGTAGATAAAGTTGGAGAAAGCAACAACATGGTATAATGACAAGAGAGCAGAAGACTGATTCTAAACTTACTGTATTATTTATAAAATCCTTTTGAAGAATACTCAGCACAAAGATTAAGTTGTGTACAAAGGAAAAGCTTGTTACATTCTTTACATAACAGTTTAATTTAAAATGTATAGTCAACAATATACATTAGACAAGAAGCTCAGCAAATATGCTTCTAGGAAAGTAACTCCAGAGTTCAGGAAGTAAACTGAAGAGGTGAAAGTCATGGAATGACCCATGTTACAGCTGTTCGAGACTATTTTTGTTGGTTTTGGAAAACATGCTAGAGGCAATGAACCCTTGTGGAATTAACGGTGCCTGTACTTTACCTCCTTATTTTGAAGGTGCAGTAGAGCAAACAGGCCTGCATTTTTAAGGGTGACCCAAACTTATCCAACCCTCTGCTTGCTATCCTCAGAGTGAAGAGAAAAAAAAACAAAAAAAACCCCAAAACAACCAAACAGAAAACTTCTTGTGTAACAAGAGATGAGTCTTTGCATGAAGGTTAAGATGACTATTCATCTTTAAGTGTATTATGACAAAAAAAAAAAGGAAACCCTACACGGTTCTGTTGTAAACAATTTTGTAAATATGTGGCTGAAATAAAACATTGTTATCTTAATGTTTCAAAGCCAAATGTAAGTTGATTGTATTTGCCTTCCATTTTGGAATATGCAAAAGGTCAATCTTTAGTAACTTCAGTCTTAAATGTTGGTTCTGAACATGTAGAGAGCTCAACAGGGAACTCTGGAAAATGACTTGCACTCCTTCCAGTTTGTTCTCCTTGAGTTACATTACACGTGCATCCAGATGAGAATGTAACCCCTTGTCACTAACATGAAAACTTTGTGAAATATGCTTCGTTCACAAAAAAATGCATTTGGTTAAGGTGCTGACAGGAACCCTGTGAAATGTATCTTACCAAAATTTGAACCTTTGTTTTTAAAGTTTGAAGCTGATTTCTTTGTTTACTCTGGAACTACAAATTGACTTTTATTTTTTACAGTAATAAAATGAAAAATTAAAGTTCTGTGTATGTGAGTCTCTGGGGAGAAAACTGAGCTAATGGGGCTAACTAAAGATCAAGTGCCAATCTCCGTATGTTTTCTAACTTGTTGCTTTGTTTATCTTCAAGTAACTTTAAACTTCTATCAGTCACAGCAACAACTCTGCTGTTACAGAGATTCTTAGTTAACCTGGAATAAATGTCCCCTACTAATGCAAGGGTTCTGTTTCTGCTTCTATTGGAATGTTAAACATTGTGCACTTTCAGTAGATTTAGTTAGTGTCCTCACATAACAAAACATCATCATTAAGTAAATTGTATTTGTGCAGGCTTCGGGGGGTTCTGTTATGTTTAACTTTCTTTTCCCTTAAATGTAATCCTAAAAAAAATTACCAAAATGCAATGGTAGTATTTCAAGTAGCTATGTAGTCTTAAAGGTCTAATGACTGTTTTGTTTTGTTTTGTTTTGTTTTTTTAATTTTTATTTATTACGCAGTTAAAATTGGTATTTTCCAAAATAACTTTTAAGTGAAGAAGAATCCTCATATACCGACCCTTTCAGAAGTTGCTATGAAGTTTATTTCTATAAGACATGTTTTATTTTCATTGCAACTTTATAAATAGCCACAATCTACTACTCCCACGGTTTAATTTGCTTTCTTCTCAAATAGACACAAAATGATTCAGTGAAAAAAATGCCATTATATTTACAATGAATAGCATCTGTTTATTTTATAAATGACAAAAAAAAAAAAAGGCTATATTTGCCTGTTGGTATGTGTGTTATAGTTTACAGATAAGACTAAATATGACTTGTGGCTTCTACCTCAAGAGATAAACCAATTTTAACTGCTCCTGTAGATCTGTTGTGTGTTAAAAAGACTAGAGAATAACACTACAGCAGTTTAGCAGACTCATCTTGTTTGCTTTGGTAGAACGCTAGTCTGTACTGTGGGAATCGAGTACTGTCTGAAGCAGACAGTGTGTCATCATTTACGTTAGAAGTCCTAATGTAATTACCTGAAGGTTTTTAGTTTTGTCTTCTGAAAAGTAATGTGATGGGAAAGGTGGACTGCACCGCATGACTATGGAGCTCTGACTGAAAGCAAATTGCTTGGTAAGCTGAAGTACCTTCCTCAACAAGAAAGCTGATGATATCTTTCAGAGGTGATTAACGTGTTGCTGTATATGATCTTTTAGCCCTCTGAAATGCTGGGATGCAGGCAGTTCATCTCACTTCTATTTAATTCATTGTTTTAAATCAAAAGTCAATTTTTGTCCGATGTGAACTGTTGTGAAAAGCATCTGAGGGAACAAAATTGTGTGTTGAATTTAGCATAGTCTTTATCCCTCAAGATAATGTTGTCTTTGAGACAGTTTTGCCAAGATAAATGTGGGTGGCAGCAAAGGTCAAAATGACTTAGCCTTAAACTGTTTCTATCATTGTAAAAATATCTCTTAACAGAAACATGCTTGAAACATTTCCCCTTTTAAATGTAATTTATAATTGCTGCTTTAAAAATCGTAAGGATGGATCTTATTCTGAGCAAACAAATACTGTAAATATCCTTGTCATACCTTGAATAAATGGGTACCTTTTTCTATAATTTGTCTTTGTGTCTTTTTACGTGCGCATTTTAAGAAAGTTTTTTGGCAAGTTTTCCTTTCCAAAGGTTAGGGAGTGCATGCTGTTACTGCTTGGCTATCTTACAGTGTTGTGACTTTCATAGGAAATAATGTCTTTGATTAATCTTAAATGGAAGGGTTTCCTCATTTTCTTACAGTAAACCTTTTATGTAAACATCCCCCTAGTTATTCAGGTTCCAGTTTCAAATACATCACAACAAAATGTGGCAGTTACAGTTATGTGGCAAATAGTTTCTTTGTTAAACTACCTCCTTTCCTACCTGTGAAACTTTAGGAGAAGAAGGGCTTGTGTCTAGAAATTAGAGCGTATTCTAGTCCGTGTGTTTTCATTATAGTTCAAGGATATGAGCATGAGTTCTCAATAGCCTAGAGAGCAGCAGATGAGCAGGTTTACTGTTCTGTGGTGCTCCTGCAGTCTTGCAGCCCACTGTTGGGAGTTTTCACAGATGGAGTAGGACAGCAAAGCAGGGATTTTATTTGGTTGTGTTGGTGCTATATGCTAGTTGATGCCCTAAAAGCTCACTTTGACTGAAGTTCCAGCCTCTCAACTTTTACCGCAGTTGGTTCTATCCTAAAAATTCCAAAGAATTGGCATTTCCTAATTTAAAAGGAAAAATCCCAGCTACATCTAGTTATATTTGAACTGTAGAGGTACAGCATTAATCTCTATGTACCTCATGGCTGGTTACTTTTGGTGAACGTTTATTAACTGCTGCTTTCAATTAATACTTTGACTTTGTTATTGTTCACGATATGGTACTGCTGTACCTTCGACTCTGTATCAAAAACATTGTAAAGAAAGGTATTTTGTCTCTGCAGTAGACGTCAAAGGCAAGGCTTTATTAGATTACTTTACAATTGTTTCCTCACCAGAAGGTACAGACACATCTAGTTGTTGCCTTTCTGGCTCACTTGATTATCAGGCTGGAAAGTACAGTCCACATCCCTAAACCAAATGTACGTAGATGGTTCTATCTCCTGCTGTCTCTTCAGATGGCACTGCCAGCCCTCCGACTACTGTCTCTCTTTCTCTCTCTGGCTGCTGTGTCCTGGCTTGCTTTGGCTGTTACTTCTACCCTTCAGATTGTCATTACCACCTATGACAGCGCTAGCATGCCATTACCAGACTAATTTACCCAGCAGAATTTGGCCTTTTTGGCCCATTTGTTCTAAGTTTTATCCCTCTAGTATTGGTCTTGGTATATTACAGCATCTTTCAGAAGACTTGGATCTCATGCTCAGTCCAACAAAGAGATTCTGCAGCTGCTGTAATCCCTCGCCAAGCCTAATTTCAGCACGGTTATTATATGCTAAAGCATCCTGCTCAAATATGTCCAATTTACAGAAAAATGACAGGGCTGATGTGGAGTAATTTGGTGTTGAATGCATTATCTCAAACTAAGTGTTATGACTGATAATTTGGGATATTGCTCAAGATCTATTTATAGAAATGCGTTTATGTGTTTTTTACCACTCATTAATGTGTTTAGCTTACATGCTGAAGTAGCAGATGTCTGAAAAGTATGTGGGTTCCTGTATACTTTCTAGCAGATAACCAATTTTGATTGAAGTAGTAGTGCCAACTTTGCTGGGGAATGTAATGCATCTCCTATAAAAATATATAGGTTTGAAGCAGTTTATTGCATATGATGTCAAAAGCTCGTAACAGCGCTGGGTTCCTAGCTGACTTACCGCGTACAGGAATTTCTCCATGGAAAGGGCGACATTTAACCTCCTGTGTGGTACAAAGGGTGTAGATCTCATGAAGGTCCGGGAGCCAAGGTGTTTATAACGGAGAGGTGGCCTCCAGTGCCATCGCATTGGCAGCGTATCTGACCACGGGCAGCCACAGCGACCCGCAGGGTGACCCACAACCTCTTTATTTTCCTTTTTTTCCCGTCTCTGGCTCTCAACCTGGGTCCGAGTCCTCACCGGCCCTTCTGCTGCCGAGGCTGCCGGCGGGGTGCGGTGCTGCCCGCGGCCACCAGGGGGAGGCGATAAGAAGGGAAAAGCCCGCGGGATGCACCGGGTCGGCGGGAGGGGCCCGGGGCATCCACCGGCACCGTACGAGCAGTGGCACGGAGCCTACTCTGCCCGGGGTCCTTGAGGCAGCCAGCGGGCTTATACCTGCAAAGCTGGGGGCTGGAGATCACGAGGTCGATAACTCATGTGGTGGAGGGCAAAAGATACTTTTAATTGTCTCCTTTTCCTATCAGCCAGGCAAAGAGGCCGACGGTTCCAGGTCCTACAGCCGGTAAGTGGGAACCAAAAAATGTCTTGAAAATTTCTGGCTGGTTTGTCGTGTACTTCTGCAGTCTTTTTAAGCTTGATTTGATTTAGACGAAGGGACCACAATGTGGCTTTGAAACACAAAGCGGACGTTGAGCTTTTTATAGAGAGCCGTTTGTGCCGAAATACCACACGTCGGCCCCTCTCTCGGCTGGCAGGATTTGAAGCAGTCAGGTTGTAATTTGGAGATGGGGAAAGCCTGTTTACCACAGCCCAGCTGCCTCACTGACACCTTTCCTCCAGGCACTCAAAAGCTCTTCAAGTAACATCAGAAATGTTAACATCAAAATTTTCTACAATTTAATTCTATTGCTTTGAAATAAAAAGCATTTTTGGCCCAAAATGTTTTACACCACAGAAAAAAAACCCTCACATTAAGTCAGTCTTTAAATATTGATTTAGTTTTTGTATTGAAACCAAGCAGTTCAGCAGCTAGTCTTCCAGGTGGCCTGGTTGAGTAGCTTTTATCGTTAACCCTCTAACTTTGCGCATCCAAAGAAGGGTCATGAAGCTGGTGAAGGGTCTGGTGAACAAGTCTTCTGAGGAGCAGCTGAGGGAACTGGGGTTGTTTAGCCTGGAGAAAAGGGGGCTGAGGAGAGGCCTTATTGCTCTCTGCAACTACTTGAAAGGAGGTTGTAGAAAGGTGGGGGTCAGTCTCTTCTCCCAAGTAACAGGCGACAGGACAAGAGGAAACAGACTCAAGCTGCACCAAGGGAGGTTTAGATTGGATATTAGGAAAAATT